CTCCTGTGTGAGGCACAACTCTGGAGAAATGAGCACAGGAGGCACAGCAAGCAGCAGCATTGTCAGTGTAGAGTGTTAAATGTACTAGCAGATTTACATACATTAACAAACTGAAGCCAAGGTTCAGCTCACACTTTACAATCTGTTACAGCAAGTTTTTTTCCCCTTTAGGGTAAAGGTTTTACATGAATAAATAAAAGCTCATAATTTTAATCACCCCTGCCAGTGTTATACAGTCTGTCTCATTCATGTAAACTGATAAATTCTGCTGGAAAGCTTGTGTTTCCAAAAAATAACAGATTAATGCCCCTTCCACATGGGGCGGACTACTGAGCAGGTGGATGGCTTGTGCAGAGCGGACACAGACACAGCCCGCTGTCCTCTATGGGCAGTCAGATGTAAATGGACAACCTGTCAGAAGGAGGATGGATCCCCATCTGTTTTCTGCGGATCTTATCATATGTAGGTGGGTGTAAACAGACATGGCCGTTTACACATGCCACTCCATAGAGGAGAATAGAGGGTCAGATCGAGTCCACCTGAAAAACTGACAGGCGGACCCGATTGGTTGCTGGTGTGAAAGTCTTACTGGCTAGATTACCAGATGAAAATAAAAGAAAGAAACCCTAAAACAGAAAACAAATACAGCCATCACATCTTAGCATTGGTTGTAATATAATGTTTGCCTTTGGGCTTAAATGTGAGTACAAAAAACTGGGATGTGACTAGCTTGTAGGTGGCCTCGGCATACACAGAGAATGCGCTGACTTACTATGATCAGCAGCTGGGTAATAAGCTTTCAATAACCAAGTCAGGGATTCTAGAGTACCCACCATGGTCCCTTCTCCTGGTCATGTTTTCTTCTATCTGGTGAGCTTTGAGGTTCCACATCTTTGGATCCATGGAGCCACGTATACCAATGCTACCTACAAGCTTCCAGCTGCTGGGTATCTCATGTTTTATATTGTGTCTATATACTTATTAACTGTAATAACTACTGTGCTACATTGGTGCACCTTTCTTTATTTTAAGTGTGTTTGGAATTTTCATCTTGTTTTATAGCAGAACTATAATCTGGAAATGCTAGAAGGTGGAGCATTTTATGAGAGAAGAGACGTCTTATGAGTTGATGACTTCACGTGTTGTCTGTGCAACATTTCTATTGTTCCCAGGTATTTCCATGGAAACAGGACACCCCCATGTTATAGAGAAAAGAATAGGGAGAAGTGTTCTGTAGTCTTGCCCTAAGGTGACAACATTGTTTTTCCATAGATACAGTATTATGAGTAAGTGTTGCCACCCTAGGACAGGAAGTGTTTTACTGGCCAGTTCACCAGGTGAAAATAATGAAAAAAAGGCCTGAAAAAAAGAAAAAACCAATTCAGCTACCATATCTAGGAAACTGTAAGCTGCGATATTTTACATTTTTGTTTTTGAGTTTGGATGTGCAGTTAATGTGCTATGATGATCTGTTATTAAAGAAGAATTTCAGGTATGGATGTTTTATTCATAGGCACATTGGTCCAATGTAACTATGCATATACCATATCTGTAGGATCCCTCTAGAAGCTGGAAATCACTGTAGTAGGTACCCCTACTACAGTGATCCCCAATAGCTTTTGGGTCCCATGCCGAGCGGCTACCTTGCTGCATTCTGAACGCAGGATGTTGGCCACTGGGCGGCATTCAGAGACTGCTTTATATTTTGTTAATGAATGCAAAGTGTTGTCTAATTGGGCGATATAGATAGGTGGGGAGATGACACCACACTCTCCACCTCATACAATCGGAGAACGCTGAGAAACTTCAAACCTTTCTCTGAATGGTGCCCATGCCCAGGGTAGCAGCTCAGTACGGGACCTTGAAGCAAATGCAGATTACAGGAGCTAGGGCCCATTAAAGTAATTTCTAGCTTCTAGGTGGATCCCACAGATATGGTATATGCATAGTTACATTGGTCAACTACAGTATGTAAAAATATCAATACCTTGAATTCTTTAAACTAGTGTGGCCTTAATAGATATAATGTGGTCTCATGGGATTTAATTTCAGACCACTGTTTCAACTGAGTTTAAGGTGCTTTGCTAAAAGTGTTACTAAAGGCAATTTTTTTTTCTTAATTAAAAGAACAAACATGTTATATGCACCTGTTCTGTGTTGTGATATTGCACAGAGTGGTCCCGGACCTCTGCTTCTTGGGTTCCCCGCTGGCGATCTTGCCTACTTCTCTTCTTTGTGTGTCCCCATAGCAAGCTGTATGCAATGGGGACAAAAGCTGCGTGCTCGCTCCGCATTCCATAGACACACACAGCGGGACTTCGCTCCCCACCCACTTCCTCTTTACTGCACTTGATTGACAGCAGCCAGAGCCAATGGAGCCAGAAGAGCCTTCTTTTTTGAGTCCCTGTGTGAAGAGGAAGCTAGGGGAGAAGAAATGCAGCCGCACACAGCACTGTTCTCTTCTCCTCTCTCTTCCTCACAGAGAATTTAAAAACAATTTTTTTTACCTTAATCCAAGCAATGAATTAAGGTATAAAACATTTTTAAGTTTAGTATCACTCTAAAGTCACAATCAATTAATCTCCATAGAATTAAATACCTTTTCCAGGGTGTTGGAGAGTCTTTGGTTGGCCTGCTCATCTGCAGATGTTATTTATATATCTGTAAAGGTTAATACACACTCTTATATTTAAAAAAAATGCTGCAATTTTGATTACCTGGCCCCTTAACAAGCAGCGCACAGTATTCAACTATTTGCTTTCACTGTTTGAACATTTGAAACGCTCATCCCTGAGTCTATATCCTGAAATTTCCTTACATAAACATTTCTTCTTCTCTAATACTTTCACCATTCCAGCCAACTTGCAACCTAGCTATTGATGTTCTTTGGTGTTTTCTGAGGTTTCAGATGGGAATTTATTCATGCTTTTCATCTTGAGCCATCTGAAGTAGGATAAAATGTACTCAGTGATGTTTCAACACATTGCAATCCATCTCTAGAAAACCAGAGTTTGACACAGTTGTTCTGATCGTTAAGTAAATCTATAAAAGTAGAAGTCCAGGCAAGCGTGCTGACTTTATTTCATACCTATGTGCTCACTGAGTAAAAGGATCATAAACTTACTGTTAAACTATATTACCAGGTTATGTGTCCTTTAAAGCTCTTTTGGTCATACTTCTCCTGTGGGTCACAGGAGTGCATTTAGTTCTGCATTGCTGTGACCCAGATTTAGCCGACAGTGGGCTAAAGCCTGCTGTTGGCTGACATCACTGAGCTGATGCAGACTCTGGAGGGATCCCGAGATGCCTGAAAGGCAGCTGGCTCAGCCAGTCATTGGCTCTCTGCTCACTGAAGACCGGGCCGAGCAATCAGTCTTTGATCGCTAGGTTCTTGGTCTTGGAGGTGTCGGGGGACAGATGCAGCATCAAACCAGTGCTGAATGCACCTAGGTAAGAATGCTTGTTTTTTTTTTAAAACCAGCATTTCATTTTTAAAGAATCATGTACTGTATATACTTACCTCTCCTGCTTGCACTTCCGAACTCCATTCTGTTGAGGAAGTCTCTTGAAAAACTGACTTTTCTGGGAGTATCAGAATCCTTGGTCACCAGAACTCTCACTCAATACTGCAGGATACAGTAGTGACATGGAAGTCATAAAAAAAAATAATTGGGCGTGAAGATCTGAGATCTTCACTACCAGCTCTCTGTGCTAACTCTGCAGGTTGTTGTGGGCTTCCATTTGTTTCTGGAATGAACTGTGGATACAGCAGGGCACATTAGGTGCTAGAATTGGTCCACATACCAAATGATTTTTGGTCTTGCGATGACATGCGGCATGCCCTGCAGCAAGCTCAGTTTACTGTAATGGTGAATGTAGTCATTTCAACAGTGCTCATATGGAGAAACTGTTCTTCTGTTAGAACCAAATCCCTTTGTCTCTCTTTCTTTTTCAATTTTTCCTCTTTCTTTTCTGATGTTTTCAACTCAATAAAATAACATAAAACCTAAAAAGGATCTTTACCCTGTAAAGAAAAATGTAAAAGCCAGCAGGTACAATTATTGTAGCTGATAACTTAAAAAAACACACACTTACCTTTCCCATGATCCAGTGATGTCCTCACCCGACTCGGTTGTTTGCCCTGTCTTTGAGACAAGGCGCTAGCATCTTAACTCTGGGCAGCCGACTGTGACTCCTTGCAGCTTCACAGCTGACTGCCCACTGCACATGTGTGTGCTGCGTCCCTTGAATGGCCACGCAGTCTCCTGGGACCTCTGACATGTCCCAAGAGGCTGCAGGGGAAGGAGGGGTGGTGAAGTGGGAGCAGGTAATTGTCAAACACCCTCTCCCCATCCTACCAAAAAACATTCCAAATGTGGGAGAAAAGGGGGTATGGAGGAGGAAAAGAGGAACTTCTCCTTTAGGGTGACGCTCTGCTTTATCAGAAATGTTGTTCTACACTGAATGTATCAGCCAACATCTAAATTATTGGCCTTTTTATTTTGAAAAGCCAGTTTAAAACATAGGTAGAGATGAAAAAAGCATGTTTACTAAAATTATTTTAGTGTATTTTTTTCCTGAAAATATACTTTTGATAAACAGCTGCACAAATATTGTACGACATTAAAAAACTGCCACCATTTTTTTCTATAGGGCTTTTGTTTTCCAAAAATCTGTAATTGTTTAAAAGCTGATTTTATATGTGTGTGTGGGAAATTTTAAAAATTTTCCTGGACTCAATGTGGTTAACCACTAGCCTACAGGGCACTTATACCCCCTTCCTGCCCAGGCCAATTTCCAGCTTTCAGCGCTGTTGCACTTTGAATGACAATTGCACGGTCATACAACACTGTACCCATATGAAATTTTTATCATTTTTTGTGACAGAGCTTTATTTTGGTGGTATTTAATCACCTCTGGGTTTTTTATTTTTTTTCTTAAACCAAAAACCACAGAAAATTGTGAAAAAAAAAAAAGTTTTTTCTTAGTTTTTTGTTATAAAATTTTCTAAATAAGTGATTTTTCTCCTTCACTGATGTGTGTTAATGAGGCTGCACTGATGGGCACTGATAGGCTGCACTGATGGACACTGATATGTGGCACTGTTGGGCACTGATGAGGAGGCACTGGTGGTGATGGGCATTGACAGGCATCACTGATGGGCACTGAAAGACAGCACTCATATATGGCACTGATAGGCGGCACTGACTGGTACTGATAGGCGGCACTGACTGGCACTGTTAGGCAGCACTGACGGGCACTGATAGGCGGCACTAATGTACACTGATAGGCGGCACTGACTAGCACTGATAGGCGGCACTGACTGGCACTGGAAGGTGGCACTGATTAGCAGCAGTGATAGGTTGCACTGACGGGCATTAGTAGGTGGCCCTGACTAGCACTGATGGGTGACACCGAAAGGCAGCTCAGATGGGCACTGATAGGTGGCATTGATGTGGCACTGAAATGTGGCAGTGATGGGCATTGGCAGGTGGCATGGATGAGCACTGAGAGCTGGCACTGATGTATACTGACAGGTGGCGCTGCTGGGGCTACACAGATCATCAGGGCACACTGATCATCAGTGCCCTGATGATCAGTGTAGATGTCCCCTCCAAGGAATGCCGATTACCGGCTCTCCTCTCCTCTCGAGCTGTCAGCGTGACAGCTTGTGGAGAGAGAAATGCCGATAACTGGCATTTCCCTGTTTACATGTGATCAGCTGTGATTGGACACACCTGATCACATGACTGAGCAGACATCTTCGGCTCTTTCCGTGGATCGGTGATCCGCTGTGTCCGAGGAACGCAGCGCACCGCCGATCGCCGCGCCACACATGCACGGTTAGAATGGGAGGATGTCATATGACATCCTCCCAGAATGAGAGAACCACCTTGCATCCGTCATATTACTATATGGTGGGTGGGAGGTGGTTAAAGTAGAATTAGTATGATTATGATCAAAATAAAAAATGACCTACATGGATCAGTCATAATTTTATGGCCACCTGTCTAATATTGAGTAGACCCCCTTTTGTTGCCAAAACTGCCATGACCCTTGAAGGCATCAATGCCACTGGACCTCTGAAAGTATGTGTTGGTGTTTGGCACTAAGCTGTTAAAGCAGATCTTTAAAGTCCTGTAAATTGCAAGGTGGGACCTCTATGAAGCAGACTTGTTTTTCCAGTACATTCCACAGATGTGTGACTGGATTGAGATCTGGGGAATTTGGAGGCCAAGTCAACACCTCAAACTCATTGAACCATTCTTAAACCATTTTTGCAGTGTGTCGTGGCACATTATCATGCTGAAAGAGACCACTGCCAACAGGGAGTACCATTTCCTTGAATGGGTGTACTTAGCAACAATGTGGTACGTGTCAAAGTAACATTATTATTATACAGGATTTATATAACGCCAACAGTTTGCTCAGCGCTTTACAATATAACGGGAGACAATACAGCAACAATACAGTTCAATACAAGAGGGTTAGGAGGGCCCTGCTCCTTGGAGCTTACAATCTAAGAGATCTACATGAATGGCAGGACTCAAGGTTTCCCAGCAAAACATTGCCCAAAGCATCACAAGTTTCTGCTGGCTTTCCTTCTTCAAATAGTGTATCCTGCTGCTAGCTCTTCCCTAGGTAAGCAACACACACATACCTGGCCATCCCAATGACAGTAAAACATTATTCATAAGACCAGGCCACCTTCCTCCACCTGCTCCGTGGCTCCGTGGTCCAGTTTTGATGCTCACGTGCCCATTGTAGGTGCTTTTGGCTGTGGACACAGGTCAGCAAGGGCACCCTAACCGATCTGCGGCAATACAGCCCCATACATAACAAACTGAGATGCCCATTTTTTTGCTTTCAGCACAACTTCAAGGACAGCATGTTTACTTGCTGCCTAATATATCTCACCAGCTTTCAGATGCTATAGTAACAAGATAGTTAATGTTATTCACTTAACCTGTCAGTAGTCATAAAGTTATGGCTGATCAGTGTATATGATGCCGTCTGTCACTTGCAATAATTTTTGTTTTTCTAGCCTCCACTCTAACATAGATTTATCTCCTGTTGATTTGACCAGTAGATCTGTTATTTTTGTACTTCCTTTTGGGTCACATGCTGTTCGATCTGTAGTGAAATCACACAGCAGCATTTTCACCCTGTGTACAGGATAGTCATAGATGGTCATACACTGTAGTTCTAAATAGACTTTAAGTAAAAGACAAAGAAATTGAAGCCCAGCTGTAGCTAGGATGTTTTTCTTTTGAAAAAAGGGTTTAAGGCATATGAATAAAAGTCTTTTTTGTGGGACAGCTTGGCCTACAGGAAGTTTAAAATATGGATCTACTGGCAGGCTCAACAAGCTACATAGGGGACTCAGAAATACAAAAACTACTGTGTTTATGCTGGTGACAGACAACATGATATACATCATTTTTTATTTTCTGATAGTTACACTTTAGTTTAGGCCCATGTAAAGTGCATTTCCTTTTGAGCAGTCAGTTTGGGATAACACCTTCTTTATATTTGTTAAATGTTCTTATCCACATTACATAATCTAAAAAAAAAAATATATTTTTTAGAAACTCCAGCAATGTAAAATTCTACTTTTTCTCTTTTTTTTTTTTTTTTAGGAGGCCGTACAGCTGCATTTGCCATAAGTAACCCTTTCTGTACTGTGCTGGCAGGTTTTCATTATCTGTTGTAGACTAGATTTGAACACTGTCCTAATAAAGGTTAGAGGTTAAAGGTATAGAAGCTGGGCTTCTTGCATTGTATGTTAAGTAGAAGAAACACAATCTGTCCTTAGGACAGACTCACTCAGTGAAAATTGTGAGCAAGAAGAGTTTTTTTTTTTTTCTACAGAAGGGACATACTGGTATACAATCCCTGGATAAAGTAACCCCCATACCCATGAGTAGGAGTTTATCATCCCATACCATGCCAATCCAATGTCTGAAGACCCTACACCTGGAAGAAGGAAGGAGGGGGGGTGAGGAAAGATGTTGGCGTTGGTGAGGGAAGCTCATGGACATTGTATCGCTGGAGCGGAGGTGAGTATTTGTGGACTTTAATTCCACTTTAACCCATTTTTATGCAAGAATGACAATTGATTAAACAACTTTCTTTTCTACTTTATAAACCTCTCTAGATATGAAAGAAAAGTAGATCAAAGACGGATTTCAATGTTAGCTTTAGCCATTTGGACCTTACCTGATGTTTAATCATGTGTTTCTATTTCATCCCATCAGTAAACGATCATATTTTAGGAGATATTACAGTACATGAAGAGACGAAGGAGAGTCAGCAGGTTAGTGGAGGATTACTCGTGCATTAATGACAGTGAAATGCATCAAAGATTATAGGTATTGTTAAACTTCAAACAAACTAAGTACTGAGTGATGATATGATCTAATCTGGTCTGTCAGAGTGCTTATAAAGTGCTTAAGACTTGATGAGCCAGTTCCTTGTATCTTCCTGACAGGGATACCTGGCTGTGTGGGATGCCTGGGCTAAGCTGGTGAAATCAGTTTTATGTATAAGCTGCCTACTTATATCAAATAGCTTCAACAACAGAGATTCAAAATATGTTAAAGCTCCAATAAAATTAGCTATTTATTGCTAATAACCAAAGCATGACACACATTACATACATATTTGCTTACTTAAAATGGGATTATTCACATACTCTTCTATGCTTTATGATGTTTGAGAAAGTGAAGATTTTTTCAATGCCTTGTTTTAAAGGGAACTGCCAGGATGGCAGATTTCTTGCACAGGTAAGACTCAGTTGGTGGCTAGAACTGCAAAGAGATGGTGTGATTGTTTTAGGGAACTGTAATAAAAGGACTGGAAACAATATTCACTTGGCATATGATTGTGTGTATAAGTGTAGGGTAGGGCACAATTGCTGCATATTGCAATTTCCCTGTCTGGCTAGGTGGAGTGTGTGCTGTGAATTTAGAAGACCCTGAGGTCAGCCCCGTCCTGCTATAGAGGCACCATGGAAAGGAGGTTAGAGAGTTACTGTGTATATTGCTTGGGGGGAAACTAAGGTGTGGTAGCCATTACTGGTAGAAGTAGTCTGTAGTCCGTGCAAACTCAAACTCAGTCTCAATGCCAGAAAAATAGATATTAACCCAAGAACCGAGAATGTGGGTTTAGTTTGGTTGCCACCTTGCCATAGGTTGTAGTTATCCCCAAAGCAATAAATGGTGTGCTCTCTACATGTAGTAGCTCAACGACAAAAACAAGGGGCTGCCATGATGGTGGAGCTGTGACAAGGTCTGGAAGTGACGGGTGAAGGGCTAGTGGCCAGGACTCTGTCCAAAGTGCACCAAGGCAAGATGCTTGTCCAAATGTTCAACCTGGGGGCCATGCCCATTCAGTTACCCGCTCAACTCATTATTGCTGAATGTATACATAATACCCAAAAAGTGTATCGAAATGTCCTGTTCTTGCGTGGAGGCTGCCTTTGCCTCCCTAAAAGTTGCCATGACTGCTCTTGAGGACTCTCAGTATCAACACCTGCTACACCAATTGGCTTTGCCTGTGCATGAGTTCTCACTGCAGCAATAGTGACTGCTATTTCAACTCCTAGAGAAGCATGTATTAGTGTATGAGAGTGGACCTTAAGATTGCGACTGTATGAACACTTTGGACCATCCAACACATACTGGGAATATGATGTCCATCAAAGGAGGATGCCACAGTATGCCTCCTGCCTTGTTTAAAGACTTGCTTCGTAATATGCTACAAAATGGGGTCTTGCGGGAAAGTCAGATTCTATGGGCTGCAGCCATAGTCCTCGTCAAGAAGAGAGATATGAACATGCATTTTTGTGTGGACTACTGGAATCTAAATGGTTGCAATCAGTAAGATGCCTGTCCTCTGTCATGAGTAGAGGAATCTCTTATGGCCATAGGGCAGGCATGTTATTTTTTTACTTTCGATTTGGCTAGAGGATACTTGCAGGCAGCCCCCAGTATCTTCCAGAGACACATGGAACACTGGGGGATTCCAAATTTGAAACTTCTCATTTATTTTGATGACATTATTATCTTTTCACAGACTTTCAAGGCTCATATTCATCACAGACAGCAATAAAAACTGACAGGTGTTCTAATCTCCCTCTACCCTATCCAAAGGAAAAAAAACGTTTTGCCTTTAGTTACACTTTAACAGTAGTTGAGATGTCATCTGCATTCTGTTATGCTCTGGTGTTTGTGGATCACTTTCCCAAGTTTGCTATAGTGGTTCCTACTCGTGATCAAACTGCAGTCACTCCGTTCTGAATTCATGTTGTGCAACTGTATGGTTGTTCAAAGCAAATTTTATCAGATCAAGTTTTCTCAGAACTGTGTTGGCTGAGTGGGATCTACAAATTACACACAACCCTGTATCACCTTCAAAAAAAACATAGCTTGGGCCTACAACCATACATTGTACAAAGATATTGGCTGTACATCCTTCTTCCTAATTTTGGGGAGCAGTAGTTGACTATCTATGGACTTGTTGGAGATGCAAGAGTCTGTGTCACCTCACACACTAAATTACTGGGTTCAATTGCAGCAGAATCATTTGAAAACAGCCAAGTGAGTGATTTTGGAGCATCATCAGGACTTAGAGGATGAGGGTGCTGTTGACCTGTTACCCTTGAGGTCAGGGGACAGGGTACTGGCCAAAAACTCAAAGTATGAAAGACAAAACAAGTTTGAACAAAGGTGGGAGACTTTCCCATACCATGCAGAAAAGCAACCTTTTCTTAACTCTCCAGTGTACAATGTCATAGCAGAGGTTCAAAAAAAC